TTTTTTGAAAGATATATAATAATTCGAAATTAAGAAATATATATGATTAGGATCACGAATAAATTTTATATATTTTATGAAATATAATTTTTTTTAAATCGATTCTCTTATAATTCGTGGTCATATATCGATCATTTTTAAATAGATTATTAATCGCGCCAATATATAGAATTTATGATATTGAATAATTATTAGATATTGAAAATTCAAAATAATTTCAAGAAAAGAAATATATATATATAAATTAAAATGAAATTTGATTTCAATTTTTTTTTGATATATATATATATAATGATAATATAATTCATAAATAAGAATTCTATTTCAAATTTAAAAATATTTCTTTTATTATATATAATCCGGGACGAAGGCATCGCTACCGTCACTGGATGCCGGTCGCCGTCGCGCCGCACCGCCCGCGGTGCCCGGCGGGGACGCGTAAAGCAGGCTCCCGCTGGCATTCTGCTGGCGTTCATCGAACCGCACGGAGCCGGTGCCAGCCCCGCTAGCAGTGTAGTCGCCAGCGGACGTGTCCGAGTGCTGCCCCAGGGACGTGGGCTCGGTGTAGGCGTGCGCCGGGGGCGCCCCCGAGGAGGAGGAGGCTACGGGGTGGGCCCCCGCCACGGCGCGGCTGATGTCCAGATGCATGTCGTCGTGTTCGTGCCGCAGCGCATCGAGCGCCGACGCCTGCCGCGCCACGGTGGATTTGAGCTCCTCCGTCTCCTGGTGCAGGCGGCGCACATCATTGCGCAGCCCCGCGCTGGCGTCCGCCTCGGTGCGCAACCGCTGCACCTCCGAGCCGAGGGCGCGGAGGGCTTCGCCCTGGCGTTCGAGCTCGTGGTCCTGGAGTTGGATCTTCCAGGCCATCATGGAGATGAGCTCCTTGAGGGCGTCGGCGTCGACGGTAGTTGTGTGGTGCACTTGGATCACGTTCTCGGTGCGGTCGAGCAGCGTGTCCACGGCGGTGGAGAAGGCCTCGTTGGCCGCGTTTTCGACGCGGTCCATCGCAGAGGGGATTTCGTTAGGGGTCCACTACGAAGAGGGTAGCTGACAGTCACACATCTTTACAACACACACGCTGAAAGTGAGACACAATCCAACATCGCAAATGCACACACCGCTTTGCCGGGATTCCCCTCGTGTAAAGTACATGCGACAATCGTCGTAGGTCGTGGTGTGAGCATACTCAGCGCGGCTGCCGCGACGCCGGCCGCTTGGCCAGCGGTGGCATCGCGCCCGACGTGACGATATTTCTAATTAGATATTTCACTATCATAATTGATTTATTAAATAATAATCGAATATTCGGTTTTATTATAAATTTATTATATTCATATTCTCGATATCGAATATATTAAATATCTGGATGAAAATTTGATATTAATTCAGAATTTATTCTTTATAATATATAGATTATAAAGCACGGGTAATTCTTATATCTAATATTCAAATATTTCTTTATTTCAAATCTTGATATGATATAGATAGCAGATCGATAAATCGAGATCGCTAAAAAAGAAAAATAATTTTTTGAATTATAATTTTCAATTTGATTTCTCAATTTCTTTTTTATTTTAATATTTCTTATAAATATATTCTAGGTCCTGGCTATTCTAGGTCCTGGCGAGATGAGAAGAATCTAATGAGAAATGAATTCATATTCTAGCTATATATCATCTATTAAAGTAATAATCCATATTTATTTTATTTCGTTGTATGCATATATATTATTTTGAAATTAATTATATTCCTATTAGATATATCTAAATTTCTAAATCCTATTTCCTGAATCTTAAATTCCTCAGACCAGAAGATATAGTATTATATAGAAAGACGGTATAAGAAAATATATTTATTTATTTAGCTATTTGAATAATAAGAATTAATTGATAATTTGAAATAGAATCATAATAATATAAAATAATAAAGAATTAAAATAATGAGAAAAATTCGAGATTATAATAAAATTTGCCGAATTTTGAAATAAAAGATCCGGACTCAGAGATGAGATTTCTTGAATCTTGAACTAGATCCCAAGCTTATTGCTTTATTTATAATAAATATCGGCTTAATATGATTTATATAAATAAATTAGTCTCGTAGCCTGCTTCAGAATGCAACTAGATTGATAGATTCTTAATATTATTTCGTATAAGTCACGCGTGTGAAGAACCTATAGCGCGCGTAGATATATTAAATCTTGATTTTTCTTAGCTTCTCTGAATTTTTGATTTTATAACTTCTTCATAAATAATTATTAAAATCACGAATTTTCCTTATCAAATCAAGGGTATTATCTACTAATCTCTGCCCGGCTATTAAAATTTGCGAGCTTTATCTAATAAGCTCAAGATATGATTTCTAATCGTACGCGCACGCTTCTCTTTAGAGAAGAAAATCTGAAGTCAAGAATAAATTTGCGTAACAATAATTCTCGAAGTTTTATTATTATTGTATTTCTTTTTTATATATTATTATATTTCTATTTCTAATTATTAATTTATCAATTCTTTTTATTGAAATTATTAAATAAATAAATATTTCTTCTTAAACTGCTATCTATATAATATTATATAATATAAGTCGTGCGCGAGATTAAAGATATATCTTAACTCCAATCAAAAATCAGAAATCTTAGTATTTAAAAATAATTTCTTACCGGAATCGTTTATTTATCACACGATTATATAAACCCCGCGCCCAGCATAAATATATTTAATAATTAAATTCTAGTTACTATCGGAGCAAAATGTGCCAAAAATCCATATGCATCTTAAATATTCGATCCTATTTAAGAACCCAACCATATATAATTTGGGAGCTTCTAATAACATCGCAAGCGGAAAGCTTTATTAGACAAGATTCTATATATAGTGGATAAAATCTCCAAACAAAGTAAGAAAAAAAAAGGAAATCTAGATTTCGTAGACCTTTTTTATAAGACAGTATATGTCTTGAAGCCCGCGCCCGCCTAATATAATGTTGCCCTCACCCCACCATTCCGCAGCTCCAATATACGACAAACAACTCCCCTCGAACCGCCCTTACCTACCACTCCCAATTGAAAGCTCTCGCCATTCCCCATGCCATATCTTATTTGGCCTCCACGATATCCTCTTCGACACGCCCGGCGCTCCACGACACTCCCGACGACAAACACAAGCCCCCCCCCCCCAATCCCTCCCCCGCCATCTCGGCACGCCCCTCAAATTCATACGACACTCCCCACGATCCACGGCCCTCGCCTCTCCGCGACACTCCCTCCGACCCGCCCTCCAGACGCCCTCGCCCGCCTCTCCTCGACCCACCCTTGCTCGCACTCCACGTCACTCCCCACGACACACAATGACAAGCCCTCGCCGGTCACTCAGCGATACTCACCTCACAAAAGAAGAAGCAAGATATTCTTCGAACCAATTTTTAATAAGGTTAGAATAACTTCAAAATAGAATCTCTTGACTAAGTAGTACAAACGTCCGAATAGCTATCAACAAATGAATACTAAATTAAGATAAAGAAGAAGATCTATAATCATAACTAGGATAGAACTAGACAAGCAGATCAGATGGACAAACAAATCTACAAACAGATTGTCAGACAAGACAAGTGAAATCAGGCAAACGTGACAGACAGAGATAGAGTCAATAGAGACAGAGACAGACACAGACAGACAAGCAGACAAACGGACAGAGACAGGAAGAGATTATCAAATACATTATGACACAGACAGAAGTAAGAGAGGGACAGAACGACACTTCATCAGAAAGCGGGAGAGACAGATAGACGGCGCCAGAGGCAGACATGGAGAGCGCTGAACAAGTATATCACGCAAGTATGAAGCCGGGATCCGGGATCTACAGTAGCAGTTAACGCATGCGGGCTATCAACCTAAAGGAACCATAAGTCACATGAGATGTTCTGATGTGCGCGGCTTGAACCAGATCTTGGGTGCAACTAAGGTCAGCAATCTTGGAAAACAAAGTCCGTAGCACCGCACAACTGCAGCACGTCGACCATTTCAATCACATGGGTAACGTCACGATGTGACACTGTGCCGTCTTTCTGACGGTCTCAGCCAATCTGAAACTTTTGTCCCACAATCTCCTCTGATTTGGCCCACAGCTTCGTGGCAATCGTCTTGTCTTCTGACAACTCAGATGCTGGGACCACAATCGGTGGGCCGTAGAAGCCCATGCGTTTCGGCACCAAGTAATCTCCATTCTTCAAGGTCATGTCGGTCGCAGCCCTCATGGTATTGATGGAAAGCTTGTCATTCTCTTCGGATACCCAGCCTGCAACGCAGTCCATGCAGCCAGTGAAGTCACGGTAGAGCCCACTCCTTCCCAAGGATTCTTTCAACTAGTGTACGCATTGGACATCAGCTTTGTGCTTCCACGCTCTACGGGTGTTTGTTGGAAAGTGCACTTGAATCTTGAACAAGACAGAACTGCGCAACACTAAACACCAAAAACGTTTGGCAATGGCAAATGCGCTCGTGAACATGCGGATACTTGCAGTGGACTGCTTGCTGGTGCCACAGGTGCTCAATCCAGGTGCAGAGTTTGCAGAATGGGGTGTTTCAAGCAGGTGCTTGTAACCTCCCATTTGCTTGGAGCAATACAAGAGCCTATGATGGTTGTTGCCGTCATCCCTTAAGACTCCTCCCGAAACCAGGGGACAGCGTCGTGGCTGTGATTTTTAGACCTGCAGCTTCTGATCGTCGCCCAAGTTCCTTGGTGAAGTAAACGTTCGCAAGCTTGGCTTGGAAGTAGACCTGTGTCGGGCATGAGTGGTACACCCATTACGAAACATCTTGGTCTCATTGAATACTTCGTGAGTCACATGCCCATAGTTCCTAATGTGAACTCCTTTTACACGCTATCCAAACCTCTTTTTCGCGTCATCCCTCCTCGTAGGCGTCATAGTTGCGCTTGTCCCAGTTGATGTCCTCGAAATCGATTCCGGTTTTGGTCCAGGTGTGCCCTACGCTGGACACTGGTACGATCCGTGCATCAGCGGAGAGGCAAGGCCAGACAAGCGCGGTGAAAAGGAAGTGGCCGAAATGGCAAACTCCCATGGTCATCTCCAGACCTCAGCATGAAGCAATGGTAACATGGAGCAACGACTTCGATCTCTGTTCGATGGTTCGAACATGTTCCAGCCTTGCTTCGTCGAGGATTTCTCAAGGTTGAGGCAGCCCGCGTTCAAGATGAGGGCGTCCAAGGTTGCCGAGCCCAGGAGTCCCTTCAAGTCCTGTCACATCGGCAGGGCGCACTGACCAATGTTTAAACAGATTGAAACATCTCAACAATCCTCTCAAGACATGTGGCTGCAGCATCAACACATAAATTTGCACTATCATGATCATGACAGTGTGGAGTTCGTCGTCAGCTGCAGTCTCGAGCATGGAAGCAGTACGAGCCACCGCTGCAACCATCCCCAGCAGTAGCAGATTCTAGACTCTTAAACTACAGTGACTACAGTGCTAGACCCTGGGCCCCATACTCCTGCGCCGACTTCCGCACCGATTCCAAGTCTGATAAGTCCAGCTGCAGGAATTGGAGCCGCGGGTCATTGCCTTGCCACTTCGACACTAGCAGGATATTGATATTGCATAAGCTGGGGCCACAATCTACAGTTTGTGTCTTGCAATGCATCCAAACGTACCTGTCCATCACGCACAACGCAGCATACAGCCGGGTTGCCCATTTTGCTCATCGCCTCTTCGGCCTTCTCTTTGGACCGGCATGCCATGATCAACTTGTCACCTCGACTCTCGATGATTCTCAAGTCTCAAGATACTTGAACCAACCGCATCTACACACCAGTCTAGTGTTGATCTTTGCATTCCCAAACTGCTTGACCCGTGCCCCTAGTTTGAGACCTCGTCTGAGCGCACGGTCGACAACAAGTCTGAGACACATCGGCGCAAGCAGTTCTCAGCAACATCATAAAGGACTACACTTTGTCAATGATGAGGCAGTGAAGAACCTGTCGGAAAATGTTACTGCATATCTCCAAGTCACACTTCGTCTTCGTGATGTAGTCACTCGCCAAAGCAAAGCCAAGGCCCAAGTTAGCACCTGTAATCAGCACCGTCTTGCCAGTCTGGTCGGGCACATCGGCATAGGTGAAATCCGAAGATGCAGCTCCCATGGCAAAACAGATCCAGGTGATACTACCAGTCCAAGCCAGCAGCCTAAACGAATGATGACGCTGTCGAGCCGAGCAGTCTGCTTTGTGCTGTATGACACAGATGTGCGACATCAAGAAGCATCAGAGTTTCAACAAATAGCAACGCCGAAGAACACAACAACGAAGCAAAGTAACAAGACTCTGGACAGGGCAAGGACTTAGTACGGTCGAGCACTCTCCATGCGATTCAATGAATATCCCAATCCTTGCACATGTCAATCGTCTTGGAAATGTTCGGAGAGTGTTCATGTCAATTTGAGTCTCATCTGCATGGCCCTCCAAAGTTTGACAGTCGAACATCCTCACCAAAATTGGAAAGCGAAGCTTATGTCTTCAAACTGGGCTGGAGCCACTATCGTTCGAAGCCTTCCTGATTCACGTCGAAAGGCAATGGTTGTCTTGGAAACTGGCCTGACTGCGTAGCCTAGGATGACCGCCACTCACGCTATCTTGAATAGCGTGGTACCATTTCCTTTCTTGGATATCGCACAGAACAAATCGGAAAGACATTCGCACGTATTTCCTGTCAAATTCTCCGCAACCATCTGGCGGCATGCAGATAAAGTTGGTATCAACATCACATGCAATACTGAACGCATCCGACTCGACCAACATCATCTGGCAAGCGCATGCTGAACTGCTTAGCCAAACAATGGACACTATATGTGCAATGCAAAAGAATCCTAGGATACCATCGATTGAGGAAATTGCCATACCACAGCCGTAAGGTGCGCCCTTGCCAGCCTACCCGAGCAGGAGACAGAAGGTCGAGCACTGGCTTCATGCAATGAGAAAAAAAGTGTTCTTGTCACAGCGTTCTGGTCAGTCTGACCACGTTGTGGAATGACAGCGGGAAGGATTCAGAGCAGCTGCTAACATCATGAATCGTATCGTGAGGATATCCACATCACCCCCGAAATGTGTATAACCAAGTTATCATACTCATGGCGTCGTAAACTCTTCAACACCATCAGGATTGCCACAATTGCCATGATCATGTGCGATCATCATCTCTGCCGTCGCCGTAAGCAGCACCGCTCGGCCATCAACGACACAAGCACGAGTACATAATAGAACAGTCAACTGCAGACCAACCACACATCTTCGATGCCTCAAGCTCTCACGATATGAAGCGGTGACAGCAATGCTGAAACGATGCTCTGGTGTATTTCTAGTAGCCAGAGTTTAAGAATGGCCCGCAGAAGCCCCTCTCAATCCACGTGTGCATAATGTCATAACACGCTCTCTTCAACGAGAGCCCCGTACCGCAACACTCGTAAGCATAGGCGGAGCCCTCATCCTTGCAGTAGTTCTAAAAGGTGGGCTGACCTCATCCTTGCAAGGCCTCACAGTAATTCCAAAAGGTGGGCTGTTAAACAATATTGATCAGGGAGTAGTGGTGTAAGCCGCACAGCGCTCATAGCTGACTACCATGCTAAGGCTAGCCTTACTTGTAAAAGCACGCTGGCTGCAAGACAAAATTAGTGCCAGCAAGAAGGTGCAGTATACTGCATCTGTCAGGCCCGGATCCCAAACTCCAATCACCTAGACTCCTAAATTATTGAAGCCCTCGATATCCAAAACACGGAGAGGGCGGAGGAGAGGCTTCTGGCACGCCCCGAGGAAGTGAGACACCCATGAATTCAAGGCTTCGGCCGCTCCCAGAGCTGAGAGCATGTTTTTGGAACTTCGAGACACCCCTACACATACGGTCACATTTACATACACCTCCAACCCAAAGGCGCTGTGGCCTTTGGTGCGATAGGCTCTGAGCATCATCTCCGAAGCCCACGAAGCTGCGAAACTTCCGAGTGGCTTGAATGATGACACCTAAAATTCGACAGACTGTCGCGCAAACGTTTCCAGACTTAATCCCCAACTCCATAAGCGGAAGTCCAAGTTTCGGCACACACTTGCTGCTTGCCGGCTTGCCTGTCCTTAGGACACCATACCTGCAGCTGCCTCCTTTCCTGCGACAGCAGGCTCCTGCATGCAGAGCTTCGGCTCGGCAGCTCCCAGGCTTCAGGGTCTCCGTTCCAATGCTAAAGTTTCCCTTTCGAAGGCCCTAAGCTTGAGCTCCTAAGGACTGGATGCTGGAGGATTGAAGGAATGAGGCATCGCCGGCAACCACGCATGCTACATCGCCAGCTCACGCGGTTAGAAGTCCGGGCTTTGGGATCCAGGTCATCTGGCCACAGATGGACCCGGATAGTTAATAGCCCTCCCGGTATCAGAACGAGTACTGCTAACTTTGCAAGTAATTGGACGCATGCTAGTAACTTGTGTGCTAGACGACACCGAGTTACAAATGCGCAGGAAGCGCCCAAAAACTACTGCAGCCACAAAGACTGGACAGTAATGGGGGACGATGCAGGGAGAGCTGGAAGGTGACGATGTTGGAAATCCCCTGCTTCTGCCAAGCACTGATTTGTACAAACACCTCAAGCCTCACGGTTACGAAGCTTAATTAATCTCAGTCATGCCACGAGTGTCATCGATATTTGGAGGATCGGTGGTAACCCGATAAACTAAGGGATACCTCCCCTGGCCAACAATCCGAGGCCCACAAGTCCTGTGCATTCTGCGCCTGGCTCATCAGGGCTATGACCTGACAATGTCAGAATCAGCTACACCGCGCATGCTACCAGTAGTGACTGCTCCTGTCGCTCCCACCAGGGTACAGATCTCGCACACTCAACAAAACGTTACTGAGAGTTGAAGATACTTGGAGGATGCTTGGGTCAAGTTGTGCAGAGCAGGCTCTCCCGCTGCCAGCTGTACGAGCAACAAGTGCGCGCGCTCTTCCCACCTGCTTCAGCCGCGCAACCTCCTTGCTGTCCGCATTCCTGCAAGCATGACACAGCATGCCTTTCTTGGCACCCCCACCATATCTGCAACGGATGCATTTGTGGAGCTGTGTTGACTTCTGGCAACGTTGCTGGGTTCACGTCGACGCTAGCTAGCACAGGCAAGTTGACCAATCGACAACCGAAGCTTCTCGTTAGCTTGAGATGGCAACTGCGATTTGTGACCTGCACCATGTGGCCCGGCACAGAGACCCTTTGCGATTCACACTGGAAAGTCTTCACCATGACCAAGAACCTCTCCGATCCTGACTAAGTTTGCTGGCACACCCGGGCGCCTCTTCACATCGTTTGTGACCTGCTTGGCTCGCGTGGCCCATTTCAAAGACATCATCGACTCCTGCCAACAAAACAGCCATTGAGCAAGGGCTTCAAGTCTACCGCAGGCCTACTATGTTGGGAGGGTTCGTCCCGAACAGGGCAGGCGGCATGCCGCTGGTTACATTCACCTGCTTGTGAGAGACTAGCAGAGTAAAAAGCTTGCCCTTGCACATGGGTGTAGTTGGCGTCATACAGCTGCTACCTGTTGCGGCATACGAAGTACGTCTGGAGATATGCTCGTCTTGTTGAAGCTGCACACTGGTCGAATTGCAATTTGGAAGCTCGCAGCTTGCTCCTATCAACCAGTGTTTTTCGAGTAGAGCAGCGTGCTACTTGCTATTGGGAACTCCAAGCAAGTAGAGCCAAGATTTGAAGCAAACACAGCTTCGGCTAAGAAGGGTCCTCGCCCTAAACTTGGCCCGAAACCCTTGTCCAAGTCCAATGCGGCGTGTTTCCTCGGAGTTGGAGCTCGCGGGGGAGCAGTTCACAAACCTTGGAGCTGCGCATGCTTCAGTACAAGGGGTTCAGCTTGCTAACTTCCGGTACTACAGGATAAATTCCAGGCAATAGGGCGCCGCGCGATGCTTTGCGAAACCCAGGATCTCTAGGCCCATTCCACCTTCCAAGGCTCCTGAGACAGTCCCCCCACCCAATGTAGCAGAGAAGCCGAATGCAAAGGACTCGGAATACAAGTCTGAAGGAAGGACTGAGTCTACACCAAACACATCAGAACCAGAATCTCAGAATCCCTGTTTGAAGCCTTGGTGGCAGAGCGCACATACGACATATGCATATGTGTATATAAGTGTTTTACTTATTGTAGCATCTATTTGTTCGTATTCCTGTTTTACATACCTTGGAGGACTGGTTCTCTTAGGCTCTGGCATCAGTGTCTTGGCAGATCCTCCCAAGCTGTCCTCGATCCAAGGCTATGCCGAACAACACGGGGTGCTACGACTGTTCGGATTCAGTCAAGCCTTGACCCACGACATTGGAAAAACCAACCGACCTTCTGTGCAGATTCTGCAGTGTGGATCCCCTATGGCCGCATGGAATCCTCTGTTCGATGTATGCCGCTGCGGGAGCATGAACGGCCATGCCGTCATTGGCACAGCAGAACAGAACATGTCAACGAAAAACTTAACCTACGAGATGGGGAAAGTTCGAGCCATTGACGAAGCGAAGTCCAGCAGAAAGCCGTCTGCGACTTCTCTGAGTAGTCGCCCTCTGGAAAATTGACATCTTACGCTGAAGCCTGCAAACAATGCTGATTCCTGGATTGAAAACCCCGTGATTGCCGAGCTGAGCTAGAGTCCTGCATGAGCATCGTCAGTTTGTGGTTCCGGTACGGAATGGTCTTGCTTCCCTGCGAACGAATGGAAATTCCGACAGCTGCAGCTGGACATAGAAACTTATGAAGCTTGCAGTCTAGACTATAGTTGCCGCAGGATGTAACGGTACGGATCCTCACTGCAAGTGCTACAATGAGCTACCCGTCCATGCCTTGGACAAAGCCTCGATAACATCGCCGAGAGCCGTCAAGCCTAGGCAAGAAAGAACGGGACACAGGTTGTTTCCGACGGGAAGCGCCAAGAGTAGGATGTTCCCAGCAGGCTGTTGAAGCTCGCAGTATCTCGCAGTGCTAGCGCTGGTAATCACACACAATACCTGTAGGCGGCCCGAAAAATGCCACAAGCTAGAATTGCTCACTCACAGAGTTCGAGAAGCTCGGCTGCACAACCAACTGGGCAAGGGTCTCTTGTTGATCTCGATGGCCTCTTTCAGAGCCTCCCCACCTCGGTCGGTCATGCCGAAGCATGTCGAGCAGTGCCGTAGACATTGTGTGGCTTTGCATTGGGAATTTCTCTTCGTCAGTGTGGCCCTGTCTGTCGCCCAAGCGACCGCGGTTGAATTGGAATGGACTCGAAACGCTGCCGCCCAAAACCCAAAGAAATACGACATGTAGTATTAAAGATCAATGAAAGTGACAGTAGTGTAGTGTCTGACTCCTCGTGACAGTGGCAGGCAAAGCCTCAAGCCGGGTCTCGGGCTGACTTCGCTTTTCTTCGGACGTTCCGAGCCAGCCAAGTCGCACAAAGTGATTTTACCGTAGATGACCTGGCAAACTGCACTTTGCAGTTGAGTCGAGGCTTCTGAAGTTCGGGTCAACCTAATGACCTAATGGTTAACGGGGTTTACTCGGTGCTCGGACGGTTCGGAGGCAGTGGACTGTTGCCAATTTGATGCGAGTTCTCAAGACAGCAGGGTGTCCCCAAGCAGGTGCTGGGGAACACGTGGCTTGATTGAACGTGCATCATAAGGTTCACGTTGTCAGCTGGGCAGGCTCCCTTATCACAAACTCCACTGTGCTCCAGCATGTTCTGAGATTGCTGACAGAGGTCAAGCAAACTATCCCGCATGCCGGCGGTCAATCGCTGCATGTCGCGATTGTATGGGGAAGAAAGCACATAAAAGACAAGGCTATACGGCTATACCTCTTTGTACTCAGTATCGGAATTACAGTCACCGTCTGACGTGTCTTGGGCCTGCTCGGTATCTTTCACGGTAGCCTCGACGATGATGCTAAGCCTGCAGTGATTAACAAAGATCTCCGGGAATGAGGACTCGCTAGTTGAACCCGTGATGTGCTCTGCTGCGCGACTTCATCTCTCGTCTCAAGCCAAACATGAGTGTGCTGTACCTCTGCCGGGTTTGAAAGGAAGCATCCGTCACAAACACAAAGCGTGTCTGCCAGCACGCATCCAAACCAGCAGAATTCGGAGTTGCAGTTCTTGTGCCTCTACCATACAGCGACCACCAGAACAACGAGCACAACCAGAAAAAATAATTGCGCACAGGAACTCGAAACTCCAAGCACGCGCAGCAAGAATAACAACATGTCCGAAGACTCGCTGTCAGTTCTGCAGTCCTGCAGGCTTCTAGCAAGAGACACACCAACAACCTCTGCAAGCCTCGTTATTCCGGCGGAATTCGCTCGAAGCCGAACTCACAAGGCTCCAGAAGGCAAGGCCATACAGGCCCAGGCCCCGACCCCACTATCTGCGTGGGAGCCCTGAGCCGCCAGCAACAGGTGGGATCGGCTGCTGCTGGAATTCATCGCCGTTGCGGCAGTCTGGGCTGTACTGGTGGGTCTGTGGCCCTTTAAAAAAGCGGAGGTGGGTGTACATTAGCCGCGACGCGACGGCTTTTGACAAAGTGAGTGTCCATACGGCGGTTCTCCAGGTTTGCGACTTTTCTGAACCTAAAGACGTTGATGACATAGCATGTCTGGAGATTCCAGGATGAAGTGTAGAACATTCAATTTCAGGGACAATACACTCCCCCAGCACATTCCAGAACTCTTGGAACCCAGAAACACATGAGCCCAGATGAGCTCTTGACATTAAGGTTCTCTGTACTTGGAACATGAAACACTCCTGATCTCGAAAGTGTCATTCCCCGCCCTGCATCCACGCCTGCATCACCTACGCCCTGACACCCAGTGTCCTGCAGGTGCAGCTATCCCTGAGGCAGCTGCATGCCGCCGGCGCTCTCCTTCGGCCAGAACCGCCTCACCCCGGGCTGTGCCGTGGCGGTCAGGCCAAAGCATTGGAACGGCTAGTTGTCTGCAACGCTCTGCGCTTCATTGCACTTCAGCAGTTTGCGATCGTCGGATCGCGGCTGGTCTACGCAACCTACTTGGCGGGTCCACTTGAGGTGCAATGCGCAGAAACTTTAGCAGTGCGGCATTAGTGGATCCTGGGGCCTGTGCTTGTCTCGACATGACGGGTTCTGACTGTGGGCCCAGAGGGGATGAAGCAGCTTGTTTCAGAGACGGACGGTGCGCTGGTAGGATGTGGATTTTATGATTGCTGCACTTTCATGGTTGCAGGTGCTTTGTCCTGGACTCTGTGTGTGTGTACTAGTCTGATCGCAAACTTAGCCGCGTTCGGGCTTCACAGAGTTATAGGTGTCATGTCACGTCGATGCGGAGCAACGACGCGGCGCTTCCGCTTCCTCTGCCCCTGCCGCTTCACTGCCCTGCCCTGTGCCCTGTGCTGCCTTGAGCTGCTCCGGGCTCGTGATGGGACGCTCGCTGACGCCCTGCAGTGCGGAGGCAGCAGAGGGAGCGACAGGGAGCAGAAGAGAGAGCGGAGGCTAAAGAGCCATGGTGCGGCATGCACTGCGGGACTTTCCGAAATCTAGGCGCTGTCCAGGCCTCCACGAACATGATGCCCCGGCCTGCGTCCTCCGAGGGTGTGCTTGGAGGGGCATTTAATAAGCGACGTGCTTGGAACTCGTTGTTTCGTGCTTTCTGCAATTCCACTTCTCTCTTAAGCATACTCACCGAGATGAACAGCGATTCGAAAGCGTGGGAGCAAAGATTTCATGTGGCTCTGTCGGAGTTATGACGAGGCCGAGGATTAATGTCCCGTCATCACCAGGTCCTTCTTCACCTGCAAGGACTTTTGATCCTTTGGCCGAGCCTCCACGAGCAGATCCTCAAGACAACCACATTCGGAGAGAAGATTTAGGCCTGCACTTTTCTCGACGGGGGAATGGTTCCGTGCGCTTTGCAGAGCCGCTGGCATGTATCGACCAGGTCATTGGAAGTGTCAACGACCATGACGGCGAAACAGCCAAGGGCCCGGCGATGATGTCTTGTTTGTAGAGCCTCAGTAGCTCGGTGGAGCATGTCCCAGGCACACAACCGTAAGCCTCATCCTGCAAATCTAAGAACATCAAACGTCTTTGCAGGAAAGTCGGAGCAACGATCAACAAACGGAGCCATGGAATCGCACAGCTTCAGCACATCAGTCGCAGTTTCTGCCAAAGGTGTGGAAGCTTCGTTTCAGAGTTGCACAGTGCGAACATTCGATGATTGGGGCACGAGGCTGTGCCAGCGCAAGCCCTAGATTTGCAGCAATATTCGACCCTGCTGTGCGTGCTGGAGCTCCGTTCGGATGGAAGCAGTGAGACAAAGCTCAACATTAAAGTTTCATGGAAACTCCGACGCGCGAGCAATTTGTGGAGTGTTGCGTGCTACGTTCTGCTACCGCACAGATCTAGGGCAGGCCAAGCCACTCGATCATGTATGCCTTCACAGAAAAGCTCTTTCGGCCTCGAAAGGCACCCACATGCACAGATGCAACAGCAAGTGTTGATCGTGCACGATAAAACATGCTCGCCTTGCCCCTCTTCTCGTCGGATCACACGGAAGAGGGACTCGATCGCACCTCTGTGCTTCCATTGGACAAGCGCAGAGACAACCGCTGGTTTTACAGGTTTTCGATGGTTTTCGTATCCATCACTGTACCTTAGGGAAAGCAGAGTGAATGCCGGTAACCCTTCTAGTCGTAGAAAGTTCCTCATGTCTCCGCGGCCATGCAGCCGTTCTCATGGTCAAGCAGCTTCATCAACTTACTGATAGAAGGAATCACAAGATGAACATCAGTTTGAGCGTGTCTTTTTCAGGTGACAACTGTAGTGGTGAAATGGTGGAGTCATATCATGATGTCATGCCTGCAGCTTGAATTTCAGGCAATGCCCTTCCAATAGAAACTCCTATGTCATCGGATTTCCGAATGTCGGTGAGGTTGAAAGTATTCGCATGCTGAAGCTTCTCTTCACAAGCGAAGGCGAATACCCAAGTTGTGATCTTCCGACCGGGGAGACGGCGGGGTGCTAGACCCGGATTCTCGCTGGTCCCGTACATGGTGTGCGTCCTCAGAGCCGACTTGAGCTTCGACTTGAGGCTTCAGCTGCCTACGTCCTCCTACTGCTACGCACGGAGCCTGTTGGTGAGAAGTGATGAAAGATCCCCTGTCACGGGCTCCTCGGCAATGCATGCGGTGTGTCTTTACTGCTCCAACCCGACCCCCAACCGGATCTCGACGAGCACCGCAAAACTTGGCCTGCTTGGTGCAGAACGAAAGGCACACCCCAAAAAATGCAGGCCGAAAGCACGAAGCCCTTACCGTCTCACGAATCCTCAGTCCTCAGCCCTTCAAGTCCCAAGCCTTGAACCTTGAAAGCCCGAAGCCCTGCACAAGCTGAAAGCTTCCAGGGGCCGGTCTTGCCGGCTCCAGTTTGGCCATAGGCGAAGATCGTCACCTGGGCGCTTCTCAAAGTAGGTCTCCATTGGCCCTTCAGGTGGCTGCAGGGTTCAAAAAATGGCTTCCGGAGAAGTCACTCCAATTTGGAGCTTAGCGCTAGGGTGTAGGGCCGGAAGCTTCGTCAGGCTTCCAGCGACAACGGGTCTAACCGGCGTTCTACCGGGCTTGCTTTCTTGACGAAGCATTCATGAGATTGAGTTGCAGGACAGCCGCGACCCAAACCACCGATCCAGAGCCGTGCAAAGCCCAGCACGTTGGGCCCAAACTCTAGCATTGGCAGCCCACCCCGCGTAACTCCGGCTACTGCAGGTCGACTCCTTCTCCAGTGCGTGAGCATTCGTCTCTACACGGCAGCTGCGTTTAGAATTTCGGCGGTTTGGGACTTTTCGGTTCGGAGTGCAGGGCGATCCTCTGGACAGCGAATGGTGCATTGTTGCATGCAATATTCTGACGGTGTGATCTGGCAGTGTGCTAAGACCTCGAGATTTCAGAAACTCATGGCCGGGAGCGCGAATCACTCCGAAGATGTGTCGTCTTTTGCATCAAACATCTGCGGGTTTCCTGCGCATAAGTTCAATGCCTCGCTGCCGTACTCAGGAGATTGTGGCATGGTATCATATCCAAGGGGATTACTTTATTCAAAGAAAGCTAACATCATCTGATGGACAACGTTACAGTACACTGTCTCATCGACCCACTGACCAGCTCCCAGGCGCTGGCATTGTAGCCGTCCACAGCACTCTGGACCAAATCCTGACCTGAATCGAAACAACAAGAAGGCACCTGACCGCATAAGCACAATCCGGCAGCGCTCCATGCAGGAACCCTCACGACCCCACTATGGCTTACTATGGTTGCTAGATCATTGCAGTTGTGTGACACACTTACGCTTAATCTTGCCACTGCTCTTCTAGTATTGACTGGTACTACTGCTTGCTACAACAACGCCTCCTCCTCCTCTTCCTCCTGCTCCTGCTCCTCCCCTGCTGATCCTGTTGGCCAGCATGAGAACCCGCACCACCATCGCTTGTACTTGTTACTAGTTACCGGTATCAGGAAGATGGATCACAATGCCCATCGCGACGAAAAAGATGCCACTGAGAACGAAACAGAAACAGCCCAGCACCCAGTTCCAATCGTGGCAGAGAAATCTGCCCATAAATGACACAGCCGAGTGGAAAGCGAAGCACGACAGTGCATGCAACAGTAGACCTTGCTATGAACAAAACCGCAAGCACAGATGCCCTCATCACCAGTAAGCCCCCTGCAGTCTCCGAAGACCTCTTCCTGCGAAGAGTCACTGCTGAAGACCTCGGGGTTGCAACTACCTTTGACAGCTCCCGGTGCTCCGGCCTGAGTACATGTGTTGTTGGCTGGGAGGTTGGCTGAATCCGGGTTGAGGCTCATTATCGATCCTTTCGAAAGACTTAAAAATCGAAGCCGCGACTCGCGAAGCCTCTCTGAACTTTTCACATCGAACACATGTCGAGACATATTTTCAACACCTAGCTGAGCCTCCTGCAGCATCAAATTCAAAGCGTCGAGAATCGCTGTGGGGAGCCGGACGCTGCAAGTCCACAGAAAAGGCATCTGCCTCTGGAAGATGAACAAGGCTCACGAGGCTTTAATGTCCTTTCCTCTTACTTCAGAAGCAAAGGCTCACGGCACACCTTCCATGGAGACGGGATCCATGCAGCACACCTCTACCGCTCGATCTGGGTGTCTGAACTTGAGAAGGCTTTAAGCTCTCCGAGCAAGTTCGATGGAGGGGACCTTCTCTTCCCTTCCCTTGTCCTGCCTTGTGTAGGACCGGGATGTCGCCGTTCTCTTGCTCCCTCTTGCCCAGAGGCCGGAAGCGGCAGAAAACACGGATGTTGCCTTTCATGTCCTCGAGATGCTCAAGCAGCTTGAATGCAGCGCTTCGCACGACCTAAAGACTGAGGTCACAAACCGCTCACTTGCTTGCGGATGGCTCGAACAAACTTTGAAGCATGAGGTCTTGCAAGAGAGGGAGTAGCCGTGGCAGGAGCAAGAGGCTGCTGTTACTGTGATTGATTACTGGTAGCTGGCAGTAGTAGTAAGTAGCAGTCGCGCTCCTATTCGTAATCACCTCATGGAGACGGCAAACCTCGGAAAACCACTGAAACACGTAAACCACCAGGCTTGCCTCGCCCAGCCAAGCAACAAACGGAAAGACGTCGAGCACTCATGTTCCACAGAAAGTTCCGAAGTCCGAACCGCAACCTTCCACGCCTGTGTGCTGCCACTAGCACAGTCACCGGCCTGGATTTGGTTGTGGTACTTCTTGCGTATGAGTTGCTCCTCCATGAAACGAGCCTGTCAGTGAGCGTGCGCCGTGGACAGCAACTCGCCAATCCTCGCTCCACAACAGCCTCGAGCTGCGTGAGCTGCGAGGACAGGTTCGTAACCTGGGACAAGGCAGAATTCTCCAGGTCGGAGTTCATGTTTCTTTTATTCCAAATGTGTGTCAAACAGGCACTTCACCAACGCCCTTCACCCCAGCACTCTGTTCCTGCGGCGAAGGACACAAGAAATGCAGACATTAGCAATGGCAGATGAACATAGCACCACCACCGATCAATTCAGCGCCACCGCGCGGATGCTCCGGCGAAACAAATTCCAGTATCAATAGCTGAGAAGGCAGCCGTGGCCTGCACGGATCCGGCCTGTGCCTGCTTTGCTTGGCTTTGTGCACAGTCACTTCAGTCTGGAAGCTCGACCGGCTTGGTCACCCTCTGCCTCCCTCCTTACCCTCGATTTTCTTCGTTCTTTTTCTATTCTATTCTATCTCGCTCTCTGTCGTCCTCGCTCTGCAGAGCGCGTGAGAGAGAGGAGAGAGAAAGCGACAGTCTCGCACACGCACACACACACACACACACGCATGGGCACACTCACACACACACACACACATACACTGACTGACTGAGAGCCGCAGAGAGGGAGAGAGAGAGAGAGAGCGAGCGACACGACATGCACACACATCGGGTCAAACACAGACTGCAGAGACCATGAACTTCTGCAAAGCTATCGGCAAAACAGCTTGAGTCCTCTCCTTCATCGTCATCATTTGAGTCATCATTTGCTGTCATCAGCCGCTGTTTTATGCGTGCCCGCCTCGGCGGCCTCGGCTCGGCGGAGGCAGCTCTCGGCCTCGGCACGGGCCTGGCGACCGCTTGGATCAAACGGGTCGGAGTCTAAGTCGAAAAGGCAACTCCGTCAGCATGTCTTAGAGGAGTGTGGTTCAGTATTCAGAGGTCCGGAATTCGGAGCCCCAGAGTGGAAACATGATGTAGATTCATGGTGTAGGGTGCAATCTGCAATGTCAGTCCATGAATACTAGCACAAGATCCGGGCTCATATCGGCCTTATGGTTTAAACAACCTGAACGAGCAAAGGTCTAGGGTTCAGAGTGCAGGGTGCCCTGCCCACGTTTTGTCGAGTTTGCACCATCAAAGCTAAGGACAAAGTCTTACAAGCCGCGACGTCGCTCCAAGATGCCTCATCCAGCGCCTGCATCTGCTGAAGCTCGCTGTCTTTGAGCTGAGACCTCACAGCTCCGGAGAGTCAGGGCCAAAGTCAAATGCCGTTGACCTGTGGGGGATGCTTCAGCCTTCGGATGTAAGCATCCCGAAAACCTGAAGGTACCAACTCTCGAGGTCAAACGTGTGCTAGAGTTGCTGTGACCCAAGTCCCCTGAAGCTGGGGGCATTGCAACAACCGGAGAACTAACTTTTAGGATCCGCTCGGAACCCCAAAAGCCAGGTCGCGGACTCAAGCTGCAGTGCT